TTGCATTGAATCCAAAAAAATGCTAATGGTTACCAAATTGTTCTTTGGCAGAATAAGCTGACCCTTAAAAAAAAAGAAAAAAGTGATAGGATGTGATTCTAAGGACAGAGTTATGAATCCTCAACCCTGAGCAGATAGTAACTAATCCAGTAATCCCAACTGAGGAGGTTACTTGGGGGCATTTCTCTATGTTGCTCCATGTGCCTTACATGGAAGTAAATGAGTCTCTATAACTCCTAATAAAGAGATGTTGTTCTTCATGAAGAGAGCAAAATGGGGGTGTACAGATCACATCTGATCTTCTCTTTGAACAGCTTAGCCTCCTCATCTATATGCCTCAGCTTGTCTCTGACTGTGCTGGTTATCTCAGCAAGAAAGCATTCAGTCTCCAGTCTCTAGAGATAGAGACTGGAAACCAGAGGGCAAATACCTTGTAATGTATGCTAAAGTAGTGTGAGTGAAATGAGCCTGGCTCCACTCCCCAGCCTCTAGCTGTAATCAGCTTTTCAAATCTACCCAGAGCACGTCCCCAACAACTCACAGCAAAGTGAGCCACACTGATGCGCATGAAGACACGTTCTCGAGAAGCAGTAGTTCTAACAGCGCAGTGACCCAGCTTATTCATTCCAGTTTCTATGTGCAGAGACATTTTGTTTTCCCAGCTTTTTCACCATGTGCTAACACTTAGACAATGATCCATGAATGAGGAGAGAAAGCAGTGTCCAGTGGGTGGTTTGTTTTCTTAGTTCTTTATTGAAAACATATGGAGGTGTTTTTATATAAATAGAAAACAATAAAGTGCCTCTATCATGTTAGGGGCAGCTAATACAATTTTGCATGTATCGAAATCAAACACATCTCTACCTACTCCAGAATCTGATTTGCTAACATCTGTACATCCTGTCTAATTCAGCTTCAGCTTGAAAAGATGTTTTATTATATTAGGCTTTTTATTCTTAATTGGAAGGAAATCATGGAGCAAGAGGTTTTCTGGTTTTGTTTTTCATTCTTCTCTTTGTTTCAACAAATTACTTTGTATCAAGGACAATAAATTCTGTCCAAGCAGACCTTGTATTATCACTAAAAAAAAAAAAAAAAAAAGGCTCTGTACTTCTTTGTATAGCTCATTGCAGTCTCTCTACTCTGTGAATTAAAAGTAAGGACTTGTGGTTCTCCCCTGGTGGCGCAGGCTCTTGAGCACAGCACTGTGAATCTTTCCGCAGCCTCTGCAGCGCTGGTTCGATCCCAGCCGGCCGGCGAGGGTCCCAAATGGCACGGCAGACCTCTCCTGCCGCGCCCACTGCTCCCCTCTGCAGTGTATTTCATCAGTTTGCCTGTTCTGTTCCCTGCTCTGTCTCTGGTGAATCCTCTCACCCTCCCGTGCATCTGGTCTGTATCCCGGTTCTTATATAAATAAATAAATAAATCTTAAAAAAAAAAAAGGTAAGGACTTGTGGTCTGACAGGGGAAGTGAGCTTCAGCCAACAGGAGAGCGAAGGGGGCGAGCACAGGCTTGGGATGCAGACCTCTGAGTTTGAATTCTTTTCCACTTACTAGCTAGGTAGTCTTGGAAAAGTTAATTAAACTGACTAAACCTCAGTTGCTTCATCTGGAAAATGAGAAATATAATAGCACTTATCTCACAGAACGATCATGAGCATGGTGTGAGATTAGCTGTAAGCATTTCACAATGTCTGGCATGTAGGAAGCGCTGAAAAAAATGCCACCTGTCATCATTATAAGCTCCTTTCTGTACATTATTTTTATGTTTCTGTCAACATCCTGTGACATTCCACAATGGCATTCACAAACTGTGTAGTCCCCTGTCCTTAGGACATCTGCTTCTTTACAGTTGAGCCAAGAAACCCTTACTGCACATTTTGTTAGGAGCCCTGACAAGTTCAACTCAGGCAACCACTTTCACTTTGATTTACAAGGGTTTGCTCTTTGAAGATGCTCAAAACTCCATACATGCAGGCTCATAGTGCAAGTTTTGAAAAAGAACATTTGTCCTAATATACCGATATACAGATGGAGAAGCCAAAGGCCAAGATGATATGATATGCCTTGGCCAAGATGATTGTATGACTTGGGGAAAATGGGAGAGCAGTCCAGAATATCAGTTCTGCATCAGGAATAGAAGAGAGAGAGGATCCAGGGCTGCTCTTTCATGTCAGGCTGACAGACAAACTGCTACCCAGCTCCTCTTTTAAACTAAGTATACACAATTATAAACATTTTATCTTATTTCCTTGTTGGAAGGATGGACTCTGCCTGCCACATTGGAACCCTCACCTGTAAGATTACCCAATTCTGTTTTTATTTGCAGATGTGTTTTGATATTTCTTTTCTCCTTTGTACAGGAGAGGGAGAGAGTTCTAGTGGGGAGTAGCAGAACATAAAAGGGGTAAGGGTTGGTGCTGCCAAATTACATGTCAACTTGATTTATCATCCAGGTACTAGTTAAAAGAGCCCTGAATGCAAGACATTAATGCACATATTTTGCATATTATTAACTCTAATGTTGCTTCCATCATGCTGTGGCCACAGCTAAAAGCCAAGGGGGCACGTTTTATTATAAATGCTTTGAATCTGGGCCTCCCCGGTGGCGCAGCAGTTGAGTGCTGGGTTGTGAAACTGCCCGCAGCCTCTGCAGCACCGGTTCGATCCCCGGCTACCAGGCAAGGGTCCTACATGGCACGCACACCTCTCCTGCAACCCACTGCTCCCATCAGCGGTGTACTTCGTCGCTCTGCCTGTTCTACTCTCCCCTCTGGCTCTGGTGAATTCTCTCACCCTCCCACGCTTCTGACTGTACCCAGTGCTTGTATAAATAAAATAAATAAATCTTAAAAAAATAAAATAAATATAAATGCCTTGAATCCTCTGAAAATCAAGATGAGACAAAAATTTCTTACAAGCAAGAGTGGAAATATGAGCAGACTTCTGCTTTGTTAACCTCCTCATCATGAACAACAACAACAAAATGTTGGTATTCCAAGGTCACTTTATACAGTCCCATTTAAGTGCCAGCAACATCCTTCTTTTTTTTTTTAAAAGATTTATTTATTTATTTATACAAGCACTGGGTACAGTCAGAAGCGCGGGAGGGTGAGAGAATTCACCAGAGCCAGAGCGGGGAGCAGAGCAGGCAGAAGGACCAAAGCACACCACTAAGGGGAGCTGCGGGCGGCAGGAGAGGTCTGCGCGCCATGTGGGACCCTCCTCCGGTGTCCGGGGAGCAGCCAGGAATTGAACCGGCACTGCAGAGGCCGCACGCAGCTTCGCAGCCCAGCGCTCAACCGCTGCGCTACCGGGGAGACCCAACATCCTTCTTTAAAACCTGCCTCTGTTCTTGTCTTTTTTAAGGACAGTACACTTTCATTTAAAATGGGATTACTCGTGGTAGAAAGGAATCTGTTTTAGGGGGAAAAGTACTTATACAACGCTGAAATTTTTATGTAGGTGAAAAATCGGTCTTAGAACAAGTGTTATTTACCACACTATCCATGCTATCTATGGTAGTGTGGATTTTGGAAAGCATAGAACATCAGAACCAACTCTGTCTTTTTCCAACTGTGACTTTGAGCTAATCATTTTACTTCTCTTATCCTCTGTTCCTTTTCTGTAAAAAAAAAAAAAAAAAAAGCCATAAAACTGCTTTGTCTATACTATGAGTTATCAAAGAAGATCAAAGGAGATTGCAAATTAGTATGCTTTCTGGAAGCACTATCAATGTTATTGATTTTTACTAGGTAAATGGTGAGGAATGAAGGCAGTGCTGTCCAAGGATAGCTTGGGAATACCTCAAGCAATGTAGTAATTGGTCAGTCTTGGAAAAGGCAATGGCTTCTGGGAAACAGACGGGTTTGGCCAGTTTGGAGGGCCTTAAGCTTGTAGGTCTTCGGGTTGAGTGGCAGTTGAGCTGTGCAACCTGACGAGAGCCTCTTATAGTCTAAGCTCCTGCAGTGACAATATTGGCTGCATGAAATCACTGTGTGCTTTCTCACCAGATTTTGTTTGGAAAGAGTTTATAAACTAGAGGCCTGTAGAGTTGCCAGGGTTTAGAGCACTATAGTTATACACCAGAGAGAGCTGTGTTCCATTCTCTCTCTGCCTGGAGAGTCAATAGACAGAGCAACAAAATTAGAAACCTAAGACAAACCTGTTTATTTGATGCCTTTAAACTTCAGCACCACTCACAATTAAAATAGGACAGATTATCTCTTTAGAGGAAGAGATTCAAATAAATAGATCCATAGGGCATACCTTTTGTTTTCTTTTTCTTTTTTTTTTTTTTTTTGGCTGAGCATGGCTAGTAATTTTTGAAGATCGCCATCAAATAGAAGAACTGTATCCTGGTACACTATAGTCAGTTAAGAAAATTAGTTAAGGGCCTCCCTGGTGACGTAGGCGGTTGAGCACCTCACTGTGAAGCTGTCCACAGCCTCTGCAGTGTGGGTTTGATCCTGGCTGGCCAGCGAGAATCCCACATGGCACAGCAGACCTCTCCTGTCTCGCCCGCTGCTCCCCTCAGCAGTGTATTTCGTCAGTCTGCCAGTCCTGTTCCCAGCTCTGTCTCTGGTGAATCCTCTCACCCTCCCGCGTATCTGGCCTGTACCCCGGTTCTTGTATAAATAAATAAATCTTTAGAAAAAATAAAATTGGTTAAAAGAATAGTAGGAGGAGGAGGAAAATTTGAGTAATTTTAATATGGGGGGCTTTATATTTCATTCCATTTTATTAATCTGTCTAAGCCAACTGGAGTTTAACAAATCCTGGGATGAGTAATTGTGCATCTCAGAACAGTTAGGTAATATACACACCAGACCTCAGTCAGGCAGAGCAACATGTGTTTGGCAGGATCTGGTGAGGAGATTACAGTATTTGATTATTTTCATTTGTGATATTTCATTTGATTATTTTCATTTGTTTTCTCCCCAAGGAGAAAAAACAAGGAAGCAAGAGATATGAACCAAACACTGTTCTCTCTTGTTTAGGCAAATATTTCCAATTATAGCCTGGTGATGGAGTCTGACCTGGGAACCTTCTTACCCTCTGGGCTGCAGTTCACGGGCTGTGACAAGGCCAGGGCCATCATGGAGGAGGTCATGCGCCTGCTGCAGCCCATCAACATCACACAGCTCTTCAGCGCTGGAGAAGGGACAGACATTAACTTCTGGATCCAAGCTGGAGTACCTGGTAAGACCAAAAGATGAAGTTGTGGTTCCTTATATAATGCTGATTGAAAAGAAAATCTCTTAATATACCACAGTGGCACTGATAGGCCAATGAATGCATGGAAACCCTAAGCTTCTGTCTATAAGGTATAATCTGAGGATACCCAAACTTAGGACAGCAGTACTCGCATGTATTTGCTTAACCATCTGTTCTCTCTTTCTAAACTCAAAGTTACTCACTCCCAGTGAGTCTAATTTAATAATGCTAGGATTGGGCCTAGAACTGTTTTGTTGTTGTTGTTGTTGTTGTTTTTCCATGAACAGTATATTTGGTGATTGTAGCACAAGTGATCTGATAACCAAAATTTGAAAAATAGCATAAAAAGCAATTATTACCTCTAATGTCCTTCTAGTTCTAATCCTGTGTTAGGAAATCCTCTCTGACTTCAGTAACTACCTAACCAAATATAGTGGTATCTGAAATTTTACCCCTAGAGATTTATTCTTTGAAGGTGGGGTCCTTTCTGCTAATCTTTTTTTTTCCCTTAAAGTAGAGATTCCTGAAAGAGCACAGACATAAACTGACTTTACCATGATCAGTGATTTGTCATGCTGACATTTTTAAGACAAGTTTTGGACAGGGATGAAATTATGTAACAGGAGTAGTCTGGAGAGGTTACAGGACTAGAATGGAGAATGATCTTAAAGGCAAATTCATACTATCTCACTAATTTGACTAATATTTGTGATGGGAAGGGGTTATTTATGGTATTAAGTATCTAGATCTGATGTTGTTCCCTCAACACCGTTATATCCATAACCAAAAACATGGTTTAAAGATCCACTTGCAAATTGTTGAGTACTGCTGATAGAAAGTTCAGCTTTTGTATAGTTTTAATCCTGTTCCTAGAACCATTGGTGTGACTACAAAACATCTCACAGATTGAAAACTAAAAGGGTTTCTAGGTCTATGCCAACCTGTTTTGTAAGCCTTGCAACATGTTCATGGATTTAAGATTTTAAAAAAAGCTTATTCTTGAAATATTGTAGATTTTTAAAGCATATTTTAGATTTTATAGTTTATCATGTTCTCTCATAATTAAAAATAGGGATTTTACTTTATTCTAATACAAGGAACAAATTTTCTCCAATGGTTTGTATATATTTTAACCACATTTTGAAGTATATTAAAACAACATTTCCATTTACAACACTGTGCATCATCTAAACACATCTGAGATACTCTGTGTGTCATTTATGATCACAATTAAGGTTAGAGGGAAAGTAGTGTGTCCTTTAAGTTGTATAGGATATTTTCTCTGAATTTTAAATTTTTCCTGAGCCTTAAACTTTTTAATAGGAATCACAGTTTGATGTGTGCAGAAAGTATAAGGAAGAGGCTGACAGATTGTGGGTGAATTAGGGTTGAGATTGGGGGTGGTTAATGGGGAGGTGAGGAACAGAAACCAAAGACCGCAGTAGAACAAAAAGACAAGTGTTCCCTCCTTCCTTCTTGCTTTTGTTGTATTAGACTTGAGAACTGGCTGCTCCAGCTTTATATCTGCCATGTAGATATACCATGAGAGTTACTCTATTTGGAATTAAGCTGACTTAATTCTCTTCACAAAGATAAGAAGACGGTTTCCCCCGATTCCTTCTTGTGGGGTGGGGCATTGGAGTCCCACTACAGTTGCTTGAGAATGAACATGAATTATAATTTACTGAGCTCCTGTTATTTATCAGACACTCAGGCTTTTTGCTAACACTGGTTTTTATTTATTTTTTTACCTGTATAGCCATCCCTAAAGGTAGTTCTGAGTATCCCTATTTTGCAGCTGAAAGAAAGGACAGAGGGACCAAATGTCTTGCCCAAGGCTGTCCTGCTCTAAGTACAGAAGTTGGCCTGAGAACAGGCCCCTTTGGTTTCAAGGCTGGTAGCCCTTTTCCCGCAAGATGCAGAAACCACACAGGGGAGAATGGAATGCTGAGATGGTCTCCGGAATCTATGGTGGTGTCTAAAGTGTTTATCTTAATTCAGCTCTTGCTTATGCAAAGGATTTTACTTCATTCCTGCTCCAGAATAATCTCCCCTGGGGAAAGGAGTTTGTTATTGTAAATAACTACTTATTTCTTCTCACATTCTTTCTTCCACTGCCCTTTCTACCTCTATACCTCAGGAAAATTTCTAGAGTCACTAGTTCATTTAAACTGCAACTCAGGGCCTCCCCGGTGGCGCAGCGGTTGAGCGCTGGGTTGCGAAGCTGCCCGCGGCCTCTGCGGCGCCGGTTCGATCCCCAGCTGCTCCCCGGCCACCAGAGGAGGGTCCCACATGGCGCGCAGACCTCTCCTGCCGCCCGCTGCTCCCCTCAGCAGTGTACTTCGGTCCTTCTGCCTGCTCTGCTCCCCGCTCTGGTTCTGGTGAATTCTCTCACCCTCCCGCGCTTCTGACTGTACCCAGTGCATGTATAAACAAAACAAACAAACAAACAAATAAATAAATAAAACATGCCTCTATAAAAAAAAAAAATTATAAAAAAAAAAAAAAATAAACTGCAACTCATGTTTCCTGGAATTCTTTTTTTATTTCATTTAGAGTGTTGTAAGATGGAATGAAAACATTGCTGTCTCCCCTTGTGACTTATGAGTTATCTTTTGATATGCCATCTTTGTTCTATTCTGGAAGGAATAATGGAACTGATTACATTATAAGCCTTGTTAGTTATTGAAAATTCCAGGAACTTCAGAAAAAGATGAGGAAACATAGTTAATCTAAAAAGGCAAATAAAAATATGCCAGTTGTGTACCATGTATTCTTGAAGATCTGGAAAAATATCATGACTTAAACTTAAAGGGAAGATTCAAAATACTGTTATAATTTAAACAACTACTCACCTAATATTTGAAAATAATGAGAAGTATTATTTCTAAACTTCATATCTATTTTCTTCTTTCTTTTATTTTTCTTCCTTCTATTGATTCAAAAAGTATTCATTGAGCTCCTTCCATGATCCAGGCCTATCAAATTTCTATAATCTGATGACAGGGCTCCAAGTTTTTTTAATGTTCCAGGTACACTCAGAATTGAAATGCTAGTTAAGGATTCAGATAGAACTTAAATTCAGCATGATTATCACTAATTATACAAGCCAGATAGATCAGTTTATGAACGGAAAGGAGAGCTATATGTCCATCCATCTAGATGCTGCCCATAATGTACACCATAAGTATCAACATAAATTTAAAGTTTTGGGGAGAGAGAGTTAAAAAAAATAAGTATCTTAGATACATAAACTTTCCATTCAGGTGTCTTTTTACTCCAGCCTCCTCTCATTTCCACCTCCTTCCATACGCCTTGTTCTTCCCCTCCAAATCCTAAACACTCTTTAAGGTTCCCTGTATGTTCAGTGGCATTTGTGAATCTTTCTAGCCCATGGCATTCTGTTGCTATTCTAAATTTCTAAAATACATTTTTTAATTATTTTTTAATTTAAATTTTATTTTTATATTCCCCATACAATTACAACACCCTTATTTTGACACCATCCCTCCTTTCCCCGCCCCCCCCCCCACATAGAGTGTCTCTGGTTCATAGTTGTTTGTTGATTTTGATATTTTCTTTCTTATAGTTATTCTTTTTCCTGGTCCCTTATTTAAGTTTTCTAGATTCCTGCTATAAGTGAGACCATCCGGTATTTTTCTTTTTCTTTCTGGCTGAGCATGATCCCTTCCAGCTCTATCCATGTTGCTGCAAATGCATGTGTTTATCTTTTTTGAATGCTGAGTAATATTCCATGGTTATATGTACCACATCTTCTTGATCCAGTCATCTATTTTTGGGCATTTGGGTTGTTTCCAAAGCTTAGCTATTATATAGTGCTGCTATAAACATAGGGGTGCAGGTGCTCTTTGGAATTGATGTTTCTGTGTCCTTTGGGTAAATACCTAGGAGTGGAATTGCTGGATCCTATGGAAGCTCTATGTTTAGTAGGTCAAGAAATCTCCACACAGCTCTCCATAGTGGTTGGACCAGTTTGCACTCCTACCAACAGTGCAGCAGAGTTCCTTTTTCTCAACATCCTCACCAACATTTCCTGTTGCTAGTTTTTTTAATATGTGCCATTCTCACTGGTGTAAGATGGTATCTCATGGTAGTTTTGATTTGCATTTCCCTGATTACAAGCAATGGTGAACATTTTTTTCATATGCCTGTTGGCCATTTGCATTTCCTCTTCAGAGAAGTTTCTTTTTAGCTCTTCTGCCCATTTTTTGACTGGATTATTTTCTTTGTTTTTGTTGAGTCTCATCAGCTCTTTGTAGATTTTTGTGATCAGTCCTTTATCATTAGTGTTGTGTGCAAAAATGTTCTCCCAGTCAGTAGGGTTTCTCTTTGTTTATGTTACTGTCTCTTTTGCTGTGCAGAAGCTCTTTAATTTGATGTAGTCCCAGCTATTTATCTGCCTTCACTATCACCGCTTTGGGTGATGTGTCTGTAAAGATGTCTTTGATGTGCATATCATGTAGTGTTTCACCTATATTTCCTTCTATGTATTTTATGATTTCAGGTCTTATGTCTAGTTCTTTAATCCATTTTGAGTTGGTTGTTGTGCATGGTGTGAGGTAGTAGTCAAGCTTCATTCTTTTGCATGTAGCAACCCAGTTTTCCCAGCACCATTTATTGAACAGACTTTCTTTTCTCCAATACATAGTCTTTGCTCCTTTGTCAAAGATTAGTTGACCATAAATCTGTGGGTTTATTTCTGGATTTTTCTATTCGATTCCATTGGTCTGTGTGTGTGTTCTTTTTCCAATACCATGCAGTTTTGATGATTATGGCTTTGTAGTATAGTTTGAAGTCTGGGAGTGTGATGCCTCCATTCCCTTCTTTTTTTTTTTCAGGAGAGCTTTGGCTATTCGGGGTTTTTGGTGATTCCATATGAATTTCATCAATAATTGTTCTATTTCTTTGAAGAATGACATTGAAATTTTGAGTGGAATATCATTGAATCTGTATTGCTTTTGGTA